AATTTCTTTCAATAATGTCATATAGTATTCAGAGTATAGGGTTTCACCTATTTGTTGAGTTTATTTCTAGGCATTTTATCCTTTTTGTTGAAATTATAAATGGGATTTTTCTTCATTTCACTTTCTGATATTCCATTGTTTGTTAGGAAAATAATGGAGTTTTGTACATTGACTTTGTCTCCTGAAACTTTAACTTATCTGTTTACTATTTCTAAGTCTTTTAGTGGAGTCTGTAGGTTTTCTATAAATAGAATCATATCACCAACCAATATTTTTTCTTCTTCACTTCCAGGATGGATGCCTGTTATTTTTCTTGCCTGATTACTCTGGCTAGGACATTCATTACTATAGTGAATAACAGTGCTGAGAATAGGCATACTAGTCTTGTTCCTGATTGTAAGCATTTCTTGAGTGGATTTGTTGGGTAGCAAAAAGGTATACAAGTATTCAAATTTTCAAGATAGCCAAATTATTTGCCAAAACAGTTGTACCAATTTACACACCTATTGACAATGCATAAGAGAGACCACTATCCTAGCTACATTCTCCTTAGTCCTTAGTATTGTCAGAGTTAATTTTTACCAATCTACTTGGATATAGATGTTTATCTCACTGTCATAATTTGAATTTCCCTAATTACCACCATCTTTTAAAATTTACTGGCTATACAGGTTTCCTTGTCTGCAAAATTCCTCATTGTATCTTGCTCATTTTTTCTATTGGGTGGTCTCTTCTCAATTAGTTTTTATAGGACTTAATATATTGTATTTAACTAGCCTTGGTCAATCCTTTGTTATATGAGTTAAAAGTACCTTCTTTGGTTATGTGGTTTGACTTTGTTCCTCATTTTTTAAAAATCCTCAGTCAAGGATATCTTTATTGATTTTAGAGAGAGGAAGGGGGAGAGAAGAAAAAACATGGATGTGAGAGAAAAACATTGACCAGTTGCCTCCTGTATGAACCCCAACTGGGAATCAAGCCCACAACCTTTTAGTGTATGGGATGCTTCTCCAAGCAAATGGACCACTTGGCCAGGGTGAAATGCATACATTAAAAAAAAAATCCTCACCTGAAGGTATGTTTGATTTTAGAACAAGACAAAGTGAAACAGAAAAGGGAGAGGGAGGATAACCCACTGCTGCTTTATTAACTAAGTTCATGTATTATTCTAAATCCTTTATTGTGACTTCAACAATCTTCACAGTATAGTTATAAGGAATAGATTCCATCTCAAGAAACCACTTTTTTGCTAATCTAAAAGAAACAACGCTTCATCCATTAAGGTTTAATCATGAGATTATAGCAATCCAGTCATATGTTCAGGCTCCATTTCTAATCCTAGTTCCCTTCTATTTCCACCATATCTACAGTTACTTCTTCAACTGAAGTCTTGAGCCCCTCAAAGTCATCCATGAGGGTTAGAATAAACACTTCCAAACTCCTGTTAATGTTTATAATTTGATTTCTTCCCATTAATTATAAATGTTCATAATGGCATCCTAAATGGTAAATACTTCCCAGAAGGTTTTCAATTTACTTTGTCTAGATCCATTACAGGAATCATTACCTATGGCAGTTATAGTTTTATGAAAGGTATTTCTTAAATAATAAGGCCTGAAAGCCTAAATTATTCTTAATCCGTGGGCTAAAGAATGAATACTGTATTGGCCACATGAAAACAACATTAATCTTGCTGAACATGTCTATCAGAGCTCTTGGCTAACCTAGTGCATTATCAATAAGCAGAAATGTTTTCAAAGGAATCTTTTTTTTCCAAGTGGGTCTCAACAGTGGGTTTAAAATATTTAGTAAACCGTGTTGTAATCAGATATGTTGTCATCCAGGCTTTGTTGTTCCACATATAAAGCACAGGCAAGCTATATTTAGCATAATGCTTAGGATTTTCAAAATGGCAAGTAAGCACTGCCTTCAACTTCAAATTCACAAGCAGCATTAGCTCCTAACAAAAGAATAAGCCTGTCCTTTGAAGCCTTGAAATCCAGGCATTGACTTTTCTCTAGCTATAGTCTCAGATGGCATCTTTTTCCAATATAACATGGTTACATCTATACTGAAAATCTGTTGTTTAGTGTACTAACTTTCATTAATTATCATAGCTAGATCTTCTGGATAGCTTGCTGTACCTTCAACATCAGTACCTGCTGTTCCACCTTATACTTTTATGTTATGGAGATGGCTTCTTTCCTTATATTTCAAAACCAACCTCTGGTAGCTTCAAGCTTTTCTTCCACAGCCTCCTTACCTCTCAGCTTTCCGAGAATTGAAGAGAGTTAGAGTCTTGCTCTAAATTTCTCTTTGGCTTGAGGGAATGTTGTCAATCTTCTATGCAGACTACTAAAACTTTCTCTGTATCACCAATAATGCTGTTTTGCTTTCTTATCATTCATGTGTTCACTGGAGTAGCATTTAATTTCCTTCAAGCAAGAGACCTGGCTTTCAGCATATCTTGGCTTTTGATATGCCTTCTTCACTAAGCTTAATCATTTCTAGGTTTTGATTTAAAGTGAGAGCCACACAACTTTTCTTTCACTAGAGCACTTTGAGGCCATTGCAGTGTTATTAACTGGCCTAATTTCAGTATTGTTGTGTCTCAGAAAATAGGGAAGACTGAACACAGGGAGAGAGACAAGAGAAGGGCTAGTCAGTGGAGAAATCACAATGTAACTGAACACAGGTCCAACTGCCCGCCAGAATGAAAGCCAAATTCATGACACAGGTGCTGGTGAAGAGGAAAGTGGTTTTTCAGATGCAAGCAATCTGAGAATCTGGGGGGATTCATGTCTCAAAGCCCATTCCAACATCTCGGTGCCAACAGAGGTTTTTAGAAGGGGCGGGGGAGCAGAACAAAGAGACTGAAGGGAGGGGTTGAAAACTTCTCCACGTGCTGACTAGCACAGTCCACTCTGATAAGGATCTCAAAATTGGTCAAGCAATGGTCTGGTTTTCGTCATCCTGGTTTTATGGTTGAAGGTCAGCTCATCTTCCAGAGCTAGGACGACTGAAGGTCAGAGTCTGTATCTTTTTAAGTTAGTTGCTAGGAACATGCTGTTTATCTACAAACTACATATCAGCCAGAGTTAGTATTTAGAGAAGCAATGTCAGAAGAAGGTGGAATGGATTGTAAATACTCACTGTAAGGACATACATTTATCAATAAAGTTTTCCATCTTACATGGCTGCAGTTCATGGTGCCCCAAAACAATTACAATAGCAACATCAAAGGTCACAGATCACTATAAAAAATATAATAATGAAAAAGTTTGAAGTATGATGAGAACTACCAAAATATGATAGACACAAAGTAAGCAAATGTTGTTGGAAAATGGTGCTGATAGAGTTCTTTGATGGAGAGTTTCCACAAACCTTCACAACAAAGCAAAGCACAACAAAATGAGGGATGCCTGTAATAGGAATACTTGCTCCAAGTGAATTATTCCTAAAGGTTATAAACAGTATGAGATAATTGGTCAGAACAGTTTGCGACTTGCTAGTTGATAAAAGCATACTGAGGAGAGGTACTTCACCTGGAAAACCTCTATATTAAAATATTTGGGGAAAACAAGTAAAACTACCAGTAAAAGGCTCTGGTGTCTTATTGGTAACTGCCTAAAAGGTGAAGGGATAGTTTACATGTTGGAGAGAGACTGAATAAAATGTAATTACTAGGAGAAAAAAAAGCAACAACTTAGTCTATTGTGGGATCCTTGGCATCATTAGAACTCCTCTTCAATCAGCTTGAACCCTCTGCTGCCAAATAAACCATATTTCACAGAAATTGTATTAAATCATAGTACTGTCCTGTAACACAAATTTGGAAAGATAAGCCATCTGTGTTTTCTCAAATTTTAAAGATTTGCCATTTATAATTCAAGTACTTAATTCATCTAAATTGATTTTACCATATATTGAAAGGAATCTAATTTCATTTTCCCTCAGATATATAATTGATAGTATCCTGTTAATATTAAAATATAATCTAATTTGTCCTTTTCATTGTATTTTGTTTGATGATATAACTCCTGCTGAATATATTACTATCCATCCCAAAATTTAGTTTTAGATATCTCTTTTAAAACTTCTTGAAAACAACTTAAGGAATCTGTCTTTTAATGGAATTCAAACCAATTACATTTATTGTAAATGGCATATTAAAGCTTTAATTTACATTTGGTTTTATGCCCTCTGACTTTTACAACTTGTTGCTTTTTGCTTTATTTTTTGTTACTTATGTTATTTCATATTACTTTAATATTAAAACATCCTTTTATTTTATAAGGTCTACATATGCTTTACAATCCCATGGATTCCATTATATTTAAAGATTTTCTAAAAGCATTCTTCAGCCAACATTTCATTAACCATTGAGATCAGAATGAAAATATTCTTTGAGTATTCCTTATCTAAAAAAAATTTCCTTCCTCTCATCATTACCCCTTTTAGTGTGTTTTTTTCATTGAATTTAGAATTTTGTACCCCAGATTTTAGCTTACTTTTACATTATATTTACTCTCAAAAACAACTTTGGGTATTTATAATACACTCTGCTATAAAACCAAATACAGCTACTATTAATAATGCTACTATTAACATTGATGTATATATTTTTGAGTGGACCTGTTTTTATTTCCCTTGAATATATGCTTAAGTGTGGAATTGCTGAGTCATATGGTAACCCAATATTTAACCTTTGGAGGAACAGTCAGATTGTTTTCTAAAGAGTCTGGACCAATTTACACTCACACCAGGAGTGTATAAGGAATCCATTTTTAACACCTCTTCATCAACACTCATTATCTTCTTTAGTATCGCCATCTTGGTGCAAGTGATGTGGTACTTTATTGTCACTTTGATTTGCATGTAACTCATGGCTAACAACGTTGGGTATCTTTACATGTGCTTATTGGCCACTTGTATATCTTCTTTGGACAAACATCTACACAAATCATTTGCCCACTTTATTTACTTATTTACTCACTTATTTAAATATGGAGCACTTCATGAATTTGTGTGACATCCTTGTGTAGGGGCCATGTTAATCTTCTCTATATCGTTCCAATATTAGTATATGTACTGTTGAAGTTAGCACTCATTTGCCCAGTTTAAAATTGGGGGGGGGGGTTTAATTGCCTTATACGGGTTTTAAAAATATATATATATACAGTGGAACCTCAGTTTTCAAACTTAAGTTTTCTAAAAAAATTGTTGGAGAAGCAATTTATTCAAAAATCTAATCTCCTTTGTCACCTGAGAGATGTGTGCCTGGTCACACAAGTTTCACCATCAAAGGAGTGCTGGGTGGAGAATCAAAAACTGAAGTTTTGTTGGACAACCAAGACTTTTTTTCCATAACAACTTGGTTGAAAATTGAATTGTTCCAGAACTGAGATGTTTGAGCCAAGGTTTGAGTATATTCGGAATTTAAATCCCTAATCTGATATGGTTTGTACATTTTTAATCCCATTTGGTGGGTGTCTTTTTGATTTCTTGATGGTACTCTTTTGCATGTGGACATACAATTTTCCCAGCACCATTTAAAAAGGACATTCCTTCCCTCCCACTGAATTGTTTTTGGAAGCCTTGTTAAAAACCACTATAAATGTGAAGGTTTATTTCTGCACTCTCAATTTCATCCCACTGATACACAGATCTGTTCTTACACCAGTACTGTTACAGAGTGGTCAGGCCAAATTGCTGGAGGGCAGGGAACAGGAAGAAAACACCAAGGTGGGGTTGAAAATTGAAAGCGGCTTGCCCTCCCTGTAAAGGGAGGAGCCACCAAAGGAGAGACATTGCCCAAGGCAGCAGGGAAGCTTGTGACTGCAGAAGGGAGCTTGTACAAAGCATTCATGACTGGAGACTTTGCCTCCTTATAGAACATGATGGACAGAAGAGGCAAAGGCAAACATGGCCAATACTGGCCCTCAGTTAAAAAGCTAGACACTCCCATTGGCTTCTGGAGCACATGGGATTCTGGGAGAGGGCTTTTAAACAACAGATGGACAGAAGCTCACTCTCTTGGTCTCTTGGCCTTTTGGTTTCTTGGGTTCTTTCTTGTATTGCCTCCCATGGGTGGGAGTGGCAGATGGCAGGGACTGCTTGGGTCTTAGACCCTGCGTGGTTGAAAGCCAACCCCTAGAGGTAGGCCCTATGCTGGGACATGTGCCTCACCGGGCTCCAGACCTCAGAACACTATGACCCACTGCAGCCTGGCACATGGGTCAGAGATGGCTTCAACTCTCTTGTCCTAAAAACAGCACACAAAGGCATTAGCTGAGAAGTTCCTCACAAATGAAGCTCCTCCTACACGACCATGGAAGTGATATGGCAGCACACCCCAGACCCTGAGAGAGAAAGAACTGCTGTGAAGCAATGGCAACTCTGACACCAGAAAGAGAGAGGGCCTAAAGCTAAAGAAATGTAGTCCCATTTAAATAACAACCTTAGACTACAAATAATTAATGGGAAACTTCTAAACATGGATTTGGACATTAATCTTCCTGGGGGTAACTTTTTTCCTGTGCTTTGCAAAAAAGGTCAGCTCAGTTGACATGAAGCAGAAATATTCCCAGGTCCCTCAAATTAAAAACCCTATTAATAAAAATCATTTCCCCTCTGCACAAATCTTCATGTTATGCATATACATGGCAATAAGCAACCAGACCCCATGCTGCCTGGTTACAGTACCACATTCTTGATTACTATAATTTTCTGGTAAGTTTTTAATTCAGGATGTATAAACTCTCCAGCTTTGTTCTTTTTGAGGATTGTTTTGCTATTCTGAGTTTCTTGAATATCGATGTAAATTTTAAGATCAGATTAACAATTTCTTCAAAAAAGCCAGATGGAACTTTGAAAGGGATTGTGCTGAATCTGTAGATCAATTTAAGGAGCACTGCTACCTTAATTGAACCAAGCATTCTGATTCATGAATATGGGATGTCTTTCCATTTATTGAGATATTTACTTTCTTTTAATAATATTTTGTAGTTTTTAGAATTTAAATTTTGAGCTTTCTGATGATTTTATAAATAAAACTTAATTTCATTTTTGGTCTGTTCATCACAACTATATGAAAATACAGTAGGATGCTGAATATTGATCTTGTGTCCTGCAGTATTATTGACCTTGTTTCTAATCTGTAAATAGGGTTTTTTTTTGTAGATTCCTTAGGATTTTCTACATACAAAATAATTTTATCTGTCAATAGTCTTATTTTTCCCTTTCCAATCTTGGTGCTTTCTATTTGAAATGCTTGAAATAAATGTATTTTTTAATGCAGAATTTAAATGGGAAGAGTAGTTCAATAAGACAATAAGTCCTTGTCTTATTCTTGGTTTAGGGGAAAATTTTCAGTCTTGAACTATTATGTATGGTATTAGCTGTGAAATTTTTACAAATGCCCTTTATCAGCTTAATAAATTTCCAAATTGTACCTGCTTTCTTGAATGTTTTTATTATGAAGAAACACTGAATTTTAACAGAAAATGCTTTTTCACCATCTACTAACATGACCATATGGCCTTGTTCTCTGTTGTATTGATATGGTCCATTATAGTGAAGTATTTTTGGATGTAAAACCAACCTTACATTCCTGGGATCAATCCCACTTGATCACAATGTATAATTCTTTATGTTGCTGGATTGGATTTGCTAATATTTTGTTGATGATTTTTTATCTGCTTTGATGAGGTATTATTCTCTAGTTTTCTTTCTTGTTATGTCATTGCCTGATTTTATCACAATAATACTGGCCTCACAATGATTAGAAAAGTGTTCCTTCCTATTCTTCATTTTCTCGGGCAAATTTGTGGAGCTGATACTTTTAAATGTATGGTAGCATTCGGCAATAAAGTCATCTGACATGGGGCTTTTCTTTGTGTTCTAATCCAGTCTCTCTACTTGTTATGGGACTGTTCAGATTTTCTGTTTCTCGTTCACTTTTCTACATTTGGGTCTTTAGGGATTTGTCTATCTCCTCTATTTAACTTATTATACAAGTGAATTGTTCTACAGTTATTCTACAGTATTCTCTCACAATCTTTTTAACTTCTCGAAGGTCAGTAGTAATGCTCCCTCTTTCATTCCTGATTTGACTAATACAAGCGTTTTTAATGATCAGTCTAAGTAGAGGTTTCTTTCTCAATTTTGTTTACCTTTTTAAAAAAACATTTTAGTTTGACTATTTTTTCTTTCTTGATTTTATTAATTTCCACTCTAATCTTTATTATTTCCTTCATTCTGACTTTGGTTTAGTTTATTCTTCTTTTTGTATAAGGTTAAAGGCTTGATTACTGATTTGAGATATTTTTAAATGTAGGACTGATGACTACAATTTCCTTCTAAAAACTATTTAATGCACCGTGAAATTTTGTTACGCCCTATTTTCATTCATCTCAAAGTATTCTGTAACTTCCCTTTGGATTTCTTCTTTGAATGACTGGTTATTTAAGATTGTGCTAATTTCCACATAGTTGTGAGTTTCTCCACTTTATCCTGGTATTGAATTCTAATTTCACTCCATTGTAGCCAGAGAATGTACTTTGTTATGACTTCAATCCTTTTAGATTTGTTGGTTTGTTTTATGGCTTAGCATAAGGTCTGTATTACAGAGTGTTCTAAGTACATTTGATAAAAATGTTGTACTGTGCTGTTTGTTTTCTTAGGTCTATGTAGTTAATAGTGTTACTCAAGTCTTTTCTTAGTGATCTTTTGCCTAGTTTGCTATCTACAAGGGGGGACCCCCCAAAACCCAGAATTATCTTCTGGAGAGCTTGTAGTACAGGCTTACCCTGCTACTACATAGTAACCCATCTGGATCAGTGTATGAGCTGGCATTGTGAGAGGCTGTGTTTGGGTTCAGTGATTTTTTTAAACATTCTTTCAATGCATTTGTCCATTTCATGATTGGTGATTTATGAACACACCTGCCCAGACCACGATGAGTGTTCAGCAGTTTTTTTACCAAAATCAGCATGACTCTTATGCTCCCCCTCATTATATTCATCCAATCTTGACCCGAGTGATTTTTTTCCCTCCAAATGCAAAAAGTCCTCAAAGGGAAAAGTTTTGATGATGTGGAAAAGGTGAAACAAACAAACAAACAAACAACAACAAAAAAGGCAGTAGCACTAAAAGGTATAAAAATTGGCAAGTTCAAAATTCTTCTGAACAGTGGAAAAATGTCTTGATAGTTGTATAGCATCAAATGGTGAGTACTTTAAAGGTGACTTAAGTTTAAACGTAAGAATATAAAATTTTTTGTACATGAGCAAAGCTGTATTGAAGTCTCCAACTATTGACATGTGTAGTTCTCCCTTCAATTCTTGTCAATACATTTTGCTTCATATATATTGGTACTGTCGTTAGGTGAAACTATGTTTGTAATTGTTATAACTTACCAAGGAACTGACCCTTTTATTATAAAATCTCCCTCTTTACCTGTTGGAATATTTTTGTTTTGCTTATTTTGCCTGAAATCAGTAGAGCCATCCTAGTTTTCTTATGGTTGTTATTTTCATTCTGTATCTTTTTCAATCCTCTTACTTTCAACATATTTATAACTTTCAAGCTAATGTACAGCTCCTGTAGACAGCATATATTTGGAGGTTTTTTTACTTCTAGCCTGACAATGTTTGCTATGTGACTAAATTGTTTTCCACTCACATTTGACATTCATATTGACACAGTTGTAATTGTTGGCGTTTCAGTCTTTGTTTTATGTCTCATGTATTTTGCACCACTATTCCGTTCTTGCCTTATGTATTAGTTTCTTTAAATGCTTTGTAAGTTCTGTCATTTTAAAATTTAGGGCTTTTTTGCCTATTATACAGATATATAGTCAGTGCTTTTTTATTGATCACATCTAAACCACTTCATTAAATTCACTTATTAAGTCAAATACAGATTCTTTTGACCTTTCTATGCAGATGCCATGATTTTTTCTCTCACTAATCCTCATTTCTTTTTCTTGTCTTATTGCATTGGTTAGAACCTCCAGTCAATATACATAGGTATGCTGTTAGTGGAAATCCTTCTCTCACTAACAATCTTGGATAGGGTGTGGGGTTCCACTGCTTTACCACTAAA